TGTCTAGTTAACATTAGCAAATTCATGGTAAGATATACTGAATTTTTTCAAGAGAAATCTCCGGCAATGGATTGAACCCTTGAGGGAAAAAAAAATGATCTTATGTTGGAGTGACAAACGGGCAGGTCGGATATGATTCGGGTCGAAAACGGGTAATGAAAAAATGGATAAATGACGACCCGACCCATATTCAATACAGATAAAAAATGGCTTAATCAGCGTTTAATATGGGTAACCATATTATTCATGATTTCTTGCATATCACTTTTGGGGGAATTCTCAGTCTCCCTAACTTGAGGAATTCCAATTTGAGGCTTTACAATTGTAAAAGTTAGACTTGTTGATTATCCATTTTCTAAATGGATAATATGGTTTTTATCCACATTTTTAAAAGTTCATTATCCAACCCATATTTTAGTGGATAATATGAGTGGTTAACTGTTTTCTTTGAACCATTTTGCCACCCCTAATTTTATGTAATCGAATGATATGCATGCTTTAAAATTTAATGATCAACACCCCCCTACTTCAAAAACTCCCAATGAGTCTATATTTATGCATAGATTGCCTAAGTTTAGTTGTCAATTTTTCATTCCAATTAGTAGTAAACGACCATGTAACGGCTTTACTAATTCTAGGTGACAAATAATCAGCTATCAAAGCAACTGGAGCAAATACTTGCAAAATCGTATACTTAAATATTAAATTAAATTAAAAGAACAAATATGTTGTATTTTGAAAACAGAAAGGTTCCCTTTTCTCCCTTATTACTATTCACTCTCAACTGAAAAAAATAAAATAACAATAAGAAAAAAATTAGGCTGGTAATAAATTACTTAGGAGTAATATTTTTCAAGAAAAAGAAATGGAAAAGAAGCAAAACGAAGTAGTAGTTGATAAAAATGTAAAAGTCAAGTCTCGTCTCACCAAAAGCAAGAACGGGAGGAAGAACATATAGCTGAAAGCCTGCAACTTTCGTGCGAATTTGGATATATATACATAGAGAGAAGGGGAATGGAGAATCTTCGCCAAAGACGAGCAAAGAATCCCTGTTCTCTTCTTCTTTCTTTTGTATTGATCACTGTCCTCTCTTCATCCATATCCGCAACTTCACCTCTTCCTCACTCAGATCAGGTTTCTTCTCTTTTTCAACTACACTTGTTTAACGACTAACGAAATTTTTGCTTCTGTACTGGTAAAAGAAAGAATTATTTTTCGAAACATATTCTATACTATTATTCTGCCCTAGATCGAAGGGATACATTTTTGTTCTTGATTTGATTTTGCTTTTTTCTTTTTGAATTCCCAGTTAAGTTAGGGTTTTAATGAAAAAGCTATGGGATTAGGTTTCATGTGTTTTTTTTTCTTACATCTGATATGGCAATTCCTGCACTAAATTAACCTTTTGGTTTCACGGATTGCAGAATTATTAGTAATGTTTGATTTGGATTACTTGCAATCATCAGTGATAATTTATTTTTGTTTTTCAATCTTTTGTGGGCTTGTGTGGATGTAACTGCATGTATTGGAAATTAAATTATGAACAAAAATCACTTTTTGGAGCTGGTATTTTCCTGGCTGACCACTTTTTGTTTATTTGTGCATAGGGTACAGAGCAGCATGCGTCAAGGTAATATTTTGTTTCTCTTTTATTGATTCTTATTCCGAAAAGGAGCCTCTTAAAAATACATTTAAAGATATTTCTCTGAGGCAGTTAAGTTGTATCATAGTAATTTATCAGAAAATAAAAAAAAGTTGTATCATGGTTAAATGTTCTTGTTTTTGCCCCTTTTCAGGCCTTATATTCTTTTTCAGCAACTGTATGAGATAAATTCTGGATTTCAACTGTATTACTAAAATATATTTGAAAATTATTCCATATTAAATGTGCATTCCCTTGAAGTTGTCACTAATCTGAATTATTGTTTTTGATGCTCTGAAGTCCTGAACAAGACAAGCCACATGTTCATGAAGTTCATTGCTCCCGAGATAGAAGCCGGGCTGCTTGGAAAGTTATTGAGGAGGTATCTGCAAAAGTACTCCATATGGACTCAACATAAAGCTGCTGCACATACAGGACTGAAAATTTGTTCTTTTATTCTTTTTGTGCTGTGCAGTACTTGATGCCCTTTGTGGAAAGAGAGAAGTATGAGCTTCCTAGGCAGTGTAGACTTCATCCAAGTAATGATATTTTCAGAGATCAAGAGGAACATAAAATCCATCTTGACGTGAATGAGTGGAAATGTGGATACTGCAGAAAAAGCTTTCGGGCTGAAAAATTTCTTGACCAGCATTTTGACAACAGGCATTCTAATCTTCTGGACGTTGTAAGCATCATATATTATTCGTGTTTGCGGTTTACTCCAATTTTTCTTGCAATAGGAGTGAGAAAACCAATGTTCACGCACTCTTCTGTAGTATAGCTATTCACGAAAACTAGTGGTTCATGTGTGCGTTATTATCTATATTATATACAGTCAGACCTCTCTATAACAGCATCCCTATATAACAACACTTCACTATAAAAGCCAAGCTTTTCCGGAACTAATTTTCATGTTATGTTATAATATATGTTCTATATAACAACATTTCGCTATAACATCCAAAAATATTCGGAACAAGCAAGGTTGTTATAGAGAGGTTTGACTGTAATTTATATTCATCTTCTTCCACTTTGTTTTCTATTTATTTCAATAGATATAATTTTCTAATCTGAGAGGCGTAATTACCATTCTTTTCTTATTCCTTTTTCTTGTTCACTATTATAAAACAACATTTTGATCATTGATGTCATAATATATTGTTGGAGTTTAGTAGACAATTCATAGAATTAATCCTGAAAGATACAAAATAAATAGTAGAATACCTGATAATTTTTCCTTAAATAATCCCTGCTTAGTTTGGTTCCTTATTACCTTTATGATTTTCTAAACCTTTAGTAGCTAAAGCACATAAAATTAGGTAACTCAAAGAAAGGTGGTAGTGAACTACAACAACTCTTGTCACAAGTATTTGGCAAGGTAATGACTTATCTAAAACTTAACTTACTGATACTTAATAACCAAATATTATAAATCTTCTGGTTTCTTTTAAGAATCCTTTGTCATCTGAAATGCCCACTTAATTTATGTATTCGTTCGGCATTGGAGAGTGTTTATTTTGGCTATTGGAGAGTGCAACTATCGATGCTACATTAGTAGCAGTTAATATGTAGAATTGTAGATTTAGGTAGCACTATTTTGCACGGTATCAGGTATGTGTGACTGCTAATTTTCTAGGTTGAGGCTAATTGAGTTATATGAATAAAAATGATCAAATTAGCAGTGATAGGGTATCTCTAGCTTACTGGTCTTTATATTGCACGGAAGTTGGGAGAATGTGAGCTGCTGATTGGGGGCCTCATCTGGGCTCTGTTATAAATAATTTAGTGCTAAGGGGATGAAGATCTATTTTCAAGAATAATGTGATTAATTACAGTCCACAGAAGATTGTTTCTGTTAGGAGCTATTTGGGGCTTTAAGAAAACCATCTGCGATGCGACCTTCTCTCAGAACCTACTGACAACCCGAACCTGCTTTTCCTAAAAACTTGTCCAAACAAGTAGAAATAGAATTTGGGTTTTACTAAGCTTCTTTTTTCCCATCACAGAAATGGATTTCATCATAGTATTCAAAAACCAAGTGTAAGTAGGCTGATTATTCTCTGGTAACTTAATTCCAATGGATTCATAATTTGGTCCAGGTCGGCTGACGAGTGTGTCAGATACTCAGATAGTTAGAGTATTCTATTACTTATCATGCATTTACCATGCTTTGATTTTGAATAGAATTAATCTTTTATAACGTATGAAGTAATCTACTTTATAAAAAGAAAAGGTATGAAGTAATCTTAGCATATGATCTCAATGGCTCAGAGTCACAGCAAATGCCTGGCAGATGTATGTGGAGCTTTGCATTGTGACCTTGTGATGGAATTTAAATCCAAGAAGGCCAAGTGTAATCCTGCGGCAGCAGCAAGAAATCGTCATTTATGTGAGGTTACCTTCTGTACTTAAACTTGTATTTCAGTTGGGATTAAGTTGCCAATTCTACTGATTTCTCTTTGATCATGTCCACTGTTTCCCCCCTATTTCCGTGCAGGGTCTTGCAGACAGCTGTTTTCCTGCTAATAAGAGTCCATCAGCTACTCGTCTTCATGGTAAGATTTCTCCATAGTGTTAGGACCTGAAGTAATTAAATAGTTGCTTCCACTTATGATGATCGTTTGGTTGATTTGATGGCAGAACTATTCTTGCGCCAATTCTGTGATGCTCACACTTGCTCGGGCGGTAGAAAACCCTTTTCTAGAGGAGGAAAGGTACAGTTTGATTACTGAATGCCTTAATTATATGCCTTCTCTTAGATCAGAATAAGAGTTGTACAGGGGATTATGGAATCTTCACCTTTTTTGGATTCATATACTTGTGTCTGTAGGAGTAGAAAAGGCCATAACATTCAGTTAAGGTTATAGCTTCATACAGTACTACTAAGATGTAAAACCTGTTTGGCAATTTTGCGAGGTGCTTGCATTGCGTGTTCTAGTGGGGCTTTTTCTCTGCATTTTGTAATTGTATCATCCCTTATGCATGTGACATGTTATATTTGCAGAAGCATATGAATCGGTTCTACTTGGCAGCTTCAGTGTTGACGTTGATGCTGCTCCCTTTATTTTACCTTATTGTCTATTTGTACCAAAGGTACTTCCTCCAACCTTTGCATCGCCAAGTCTCCCTCAAAATTTGCATTGAAACAATTGCTTCTTCATCTGCAGAGAAATGAAAAAGGGAACTCAAGAACTTAGGCGCATTACAAAAGTTGGAAGAAAAGCCAAACCTTCTTAGCTGTGTACAGCAATGATACTTCTTTTGGTGAGGATATTTGTCTATCTTGTTTACGTCATGTTAGAAAGAAATGATTCCTTTCTTATAAAATGATACACCAGCTTATTAAATGTATTTCATAGTAAGCTGAAACATTAGCATCATGAAGGGATGGAGATGGATTAACATTGTGCATCTTCTTGTCCTGCTGTAGACATCTCTTGGCAACAAATCATTTACTGTTGCTGGATGATCAGAGTTCTGATGTAGAAGACAAGACATATCCTCCGTCAGCATGGTATAATGCATCTTGCATTTAAGTCGTCTGCCTGGATAAGATGATCTCATTCAAGCAGAAGCTAAATTCTTTACTCTCTGTTGTATCACTTCTCACAGATCCATACAACAGTTTTCATGGGAAGACCAGTTTTCTCTTTATCAATTTTACATTGGGGGGAACGTGAATTCTTCATGTTGTATGTTTCTTTGGGTAATCTAAAGTTTACTTTTGGGGTGTCTTGGACAAACTTGTGTAGTTATGACTGGGAAGTGGTAAGCTCGTGGAAGTGCGTGTTAGCGAATGGAAAGACAAGGTGGTCAATCTGTATTCCTTTTAATTTCTTTTCTTGTTTTTTGGAGCCAAACAGGAAGCTGCATTATTATCTTATACAGACAAGGAGTATGAATCAAAGGAAGTTTTATTTTAGGGCAGGGGTGGTAGAGTGCAGTAACGTTCCTAATTAGCGATGTGACAGCAATCAGCACAGCTATTAACCTTGCCAACGGTGCAAGCCTGTGAGAAAAATCTGTAAAGGAAAATAATCATCTCTTGTTGTGTAGCAGATTGGCTTTGCAATGGTGGATTCTTATATTCTCGTTGTCTAACCTACGGTTGTGTTACTGAGAACAGTGGCAAAAGCACCGTAAGGTATAGATTATGTAGGACTGGCAGTAAAAAGAAAGACAACCTGGAAGATGCCATCTCTATGCCTCATTTGATGGAATGAAGAAATAAGAGATCGATTCAAACTAATGATAATGATATAGGAAACATTAAAAACCTCTATCATTCACTTGTATTTCCATTGTAAGGAAAGAATGTCATGTGTGTTGATAGCAAGAAAAGCGTAATAGACAACTATGGATGAGCTCATACAGAATTCATACAAATTTTCGGACTCCAAGTCGGTATTTATGAATGAAATCTTGACTCATAAAAAAAGGATTTTGATTAAACAGTGAGGGTCATATACCCAAGTTACATTTACTGCTGCTTTTGACTAAGTATGCTTGCTAACAAAACCTTCTGCTCTCTCCCAATAATTATATGCTTATCCAGCAGTATATTACATACACGCCTGTCTTTGCTCTATTAAGGGTTCCACCAGTTCACACGTCCTTGTAGATCTTCCACGCACAAACCACCCGATGGCATCAAAGTATTGGCAATCTCATGCCTAAACAGCCAGCAATGCTAACAAAGCAGCTCCAAGCAGTCTCATCTGAACCATCCAGGCTGAAATTTATGGAGCTAACACATTGAACGCGAGGGATATTAACTCATTAGATAATAGGAAACCATCAGGGTCGCTAAGCCTGATATATGCCAATACCTCATTAACCTTGTCCCCTTCAGATAACAAAGATCTGAATTCTTCTGCGTCGATTTTCCTACTCTGCTCATCCAAACATTCAACATGCCCACTCTCAATATGAGGCTTGTAGACCTCACAAAGGGAAAGAACATTTGAGCTTCCAAAAGCTTTGCTAAATGACTTCAAATCTAACCCTCTAGCAGTTCTCAGAGACAGCATAACAACATCTGTCGCTATGTCTTGAGCGTCTACTTTACTGTCCTGGCAACAATTCACTAGTCCATTCTCCAAATTTTGCACATAACCCATGTAATCTTTCAGCTTCCTTGGCCTTGAAAACCTTACTCCATTAAGATAACTGGCTGACCCCAGTCCAAAAGCGTAAAAAGATTTGTTTATCCAGTATGTATAATTGTGCTTGCATTGATAACCACTTTTGCAGTAGCTACTTATCTCATAGTGCTCATAACCAGCATTTCTTAGCATTTCAGAGGCCATTTTGTAAAACTCAGCAGATTGATTTTCAGAAGGCAGAGGGAATTCTCCAGCAGTATACCTGTGGATACAACAATTTCAGTTCAAAAGTTGAATTTGTAACTGCAGTCACTGTTTCTCTTATACTAGGACAATATTATGGAAAAACTCTCAATAAAAAAGCAAATAATCTTGGCCTTTCGAATACTATCAGGTAAGCTGATTATTATTCAATGTACTCCTCAGTCCCAAACCAGTTTGAAAAAATTAGCTGAATGATTTTGTAGGTTACTGTCTCTAGTGGTTTAGAAAGAGTTCTATTGCCACAAATGAATAGGAAGCGAGGCGGGGTCCTTCATTAAAGAAGAGATATTGTAAAAGATTGTTGGCAAAGAAAAATCTCAAATTTCCTTTGAAGGTTGTACTACTTACAAAGATCCAAACTTTGTATCTTGTTCAACTTGTAAATCATAAACTGAGACATGTGTAGGCTTTGCTTGAATGGTGAGGCTCAAGCTTTCTTCCCACATATGTGGCTTCTGATGAGGGAGTGAAGATATAAGGTCCACACTCCAATTCTCAACACCACATGATCCAACAATGTCAATAGCCTCATGAATTTCCTGTACGCCATGAGCTCTCCCACAACTCTTAAGCAATTCCTCCTGGAATGCCTGAACTCCTAGAGAAACTCTATTAACACCCAACTTCATCAAATCTTTCAACTTTGCAGCATCAAATGTACCAGGGTCCATTTCTATTGAAATTTCAGCATCAGAACATACACCAAATTTAGAGTCCAGTGTGTCCAGGATTACGGATACTAATCTTGGTGGCACAAGTGAAGGTGTCCCTCCACCAAAAAAGACAGTTTCAAGAGGTGACTTGTGGTTGGAAGGTGTTGGGGTGGCTTTAATTTCTCTGCAGAGAATATCAATGTAGTTAAGAATTCGCGGGTCGTCATCAGCTTGAGGTGAAGCTGAGCCGAGAGCGACGATAGGGAAGTCACAGTAGTGGCAGCGTTTTCGGCAGAATGGGAGGTGAACGTAAGCTGAAGTTGGCTGTTGCAGGAATGTATTTTCTATTGCGTCATTTTGTCGAACAGTTTGTGGGGTTTTTGATATTGCAGTGATAATTGTGCGAGGTTTGGCCTTAGACGGAAAGGCCGTGAATATAGGTGTGAACGTTGATCTCAGCATGTTTGGGAAGGCAAACATAACGCCTCCAGCAAAATAAGCATTAATCATTTATTAGTAGGAAAAAAAGGGAATAAAAACAAAAGAAAACACAAGCTGATAACTAATTATGTGTAGCCAACATAAATAGTTTTAAGTAAGCAAAAAAATAAATAAAAATATGAGCGTTATTTTCTTTTCTCATTTTAAATAGATGGGGTGCGCCTCTAGCCCTCTACACGAAGAAGAGAATAACAGTCTGGTGAGGAATATTATTTTATTTCAGAAAAAGAAGTTTTTTTTTCCTTCTCAAAAGTTATGCTTTAGTATAAAAATTGCCAAAAGGAAACATGACTAAAAACTTTAGAAAAGAAAAAAAAAAAAAAGAATACGCATAAAGTGTTGTTTCTTTCTTTTTGTTTTAAGTAACAATCTTATTTTCTTTGTGCATACTGATAAATATGACTTCAGTACACGTCAAACTAATAATTACATGACATATAGTTTTTACTGGTAATTTTATCACTTTACTATAGAAAATTAGCATTATATTTCCATCATTTTTTTTGTTTAAATATTACAGTAATTTCTTTATTCGGCTTTGGATTAGTAGGTACTATTTTGGCGCGAATAAGCATAATTATAAGCGTTCCCGCTACAATTTTGCTAATCGCTATTTTTGGCGGCTAAAATCCCTTAATCTTCGCTTCTACTGCAACGTTCCAATTTCCAAGTCGCCGCCATGAATTCCAGAGAAGTAGCGCTGGTTTCAGCTGCCACAGTACTCGGTGCCTTTGCTTCTGCTATAACCGTTCGCCTTTTCTTCTCCCCCAAAAGGCGTTCAATTACTGATTCAGACTCGGGAGTCAACGGTTTCCAGCAGAGGAAGTCATCTTCTCAGAACCCATTTGATCCTTCAAAACGACTAGGGTTTGTCAATTTTACCTTTTATTGTATTTAAATATGTAATTTACTTTTATTTTCTGAAAAAATGTAAAGGAAAATGGTTCTGTGAGTTTAGGTATTTGTCATGGGATGATTATTTCATGGCCATTGCATTTCTCTCTGCTGAACGGTCCAAGGATCCCAACAGGCAGGTACTAGTCTAATTTTGAACTGATTATTAAGCTTCTTGTACGAATTCTAAGTCATTTTGGAATGGATGAGTAGAATTATACACCAAATGTTTGTTGAAAGTTGTGTTCTGATGCTAAGTTGCTTAAGTCCAGTATTTATAGAAAATACTTTATTGTGGTTGGCTTTGTCAATTAACATATCCCCATAATTAAGAGGAAGAATCTTAACTATATTCTCAAACATAATTGAAAATGCCAAGTAGTCTTCAGATGCTGCATAAATTGAAGTTTCCCTGGTCTGGAACAAAGGCTACTGATTAATATGTCCTACGTGAATTTATCCCGTCTTCTTGACAGAACCAAAGTAGTGATTAGTAGTTCTTGCCCTTTTAACCTCACACTAAAAAGAGTTATCCAATCATGAGTATGACCGTGTTCCTTCCAACGGAATGAAGCTATTTATAGACAGTCTCAAGTTAAGCTGTACTTGTTCGAATAACTCTTGTTCTTGGTGCTCAAGTTAAATGCTCGGAATTCTTTTTGTATGTTTTATTTCCCACATTTTACTGCTTTAGTGCTACTTCAAGGTTGACTTTCTCAACTCAGGTTTCACAAGCTCCATCGAAACTAAACACTTTCTGGTTGTTTGACAGGTTGGAGCATGTTTGGTGAGTCAAAATGGTGTAATATTAGGTAGGCTGTATTTGAAGGAATCACTTCTTTGTCTATTGACAGCTGAAAATGTTTCGTATCATTAAGTTATATTTTTGCAATTTATTTTGCAAATTATATTTGATTAGGGAGAACTACATAATACTCCTATCAATTGATTGTCTTTTGGAGTAGCTGAAAGATAGATTAACTAGCTCATTTGGTTATGTGGATCAAGGGCACATATTCAGTCACTTTGGACTTTGAGATTTTGCTATATTAACTTAAATATACTATAATATTCATTTCTGATCTCATAACCCTGATGATTTTATTGCATTCTAGGATTTTCTTATTTAATATGAACAGAAAAAGATGAAAATGGAAAGGTGAATACTTCAGGAGTAGGGAGGTGAAAGCTACATTCACTAAACATAAGTGCGTTCTTAGAAATGGTGAACATTTGCAAGACACAAGTCGTCAGTTGCCTCTCGAAGTTGCTTTACTCTTCCTGCAGAGTAAATATTATTTACTATATGTTTTATCTCAACTTCATAACTTGAATTAGAATACATATGACCACATTGTAACGCTGGGGAGTATATTGGTGAATTATGCAAGACCCACATAGGATTTTTGATATTGGAAGTTCATCTTTATTCTCTGGTTTGTTATCTTTCCCCATATGGCTTGTGTTTCCATCATACTTGAATGTTTGATTAGGCTAATTGCATCACTTCTAGAATATGCACATTTCAAGCAACATATTTACTGCCAATAGGTTATTAGATTCCGTCTAATTTATGCTCTGCTTTTAGCCAGGCATTGGATACAATGGGTTCCCACGTGGCTGTTCAGATGACAAGCTTCCCTGGGCAAAGGTTGGTACTGTTTGCTGAGAAATGTTCTTTTTTATTGTCAGCGTTATTCCAACTCATTCGCTACCATTTCAGAAATCTAAAAATGGAAATCCGTTGGAGACAAAGTATCCGTAAGTTATATTCTTCTCCAAAACAATTATATATGCAATTTTGTCTGTAGGCTACATAATGTCCTTTTTAAATGTGTAGTTACCAATAACTATCTTAATTCAAGAAACAAGTCTTTCTCAATCTACATTTGATGACTCTACCTTATTCAAGCTTTCCGATTCTCGCAGTTATGTTTGTCATGCTGAAGTTAATGCCATCTTGAATACAAATCATGCATCTGCTGCTGGACAGGTTAGCTTGAGTCATGACCTGTGAACTATCAATCTACTGTCCTGACACCACTACTGCCAGTCCCCTACCCCCCCCCCCCCCTCTCTAGACGGCTTCTTTTCTTTTCAATCCTATTGGAAATTATTTTATCTCCTGCAACTTGCGCAGTATTAACTCACAGAATGTCTTATCCGTATTATGCAGAGGCTCTATGTCACAATGTTTCCTTGCAATGAATGCGCAAAGATCATCATTCAGGTGAATTAAGCGTGATCCTTTATGACTTCAACATATCTATAGCACCCCCAGCAACATCTTCTACTATGTTGATAAAATAGAAATTTACCTCCATCATTGGAAGTTTAAGCTTTTTCTGGATGTTCATTTCATAAATTCGGATAGAACATGCTCTTGCAAAGATTATGCGAGGGCAAAACATATTGCTAGATTTCCATTAAGGGGAGGCTATTGAATGATTTATTAAAGAACTTGCATATCACTTGCAAGGAAAACTGGGGGCGTCAGGATTTCACACATTTTACCTTGCAAATGGATATAAATACAGACTTTACGTAGGCGCATTTTGTCTCTTTTTCAAGATACAAAGAGTAGTTATAAAAGGATTAATAAGGATTGCAAAGTAAAAAAATAGCTATAACAAGAATCTTTTCGCATTTTCTGATATTGACTTCTGTGCACCGGAACTAGGATGTTTAATTAATTATGCATTTCTGCTTCTTAAACCTTCCCTTTTTGGCTTTCCAGTAATTTATACTTCACAAATGTCTGTATTTGCAGTCTGGTGTTTCAGAGGTAATTTATTTTGTGGAGAAGAGGTTGGACGGTTCTGACGCAACGTATGTTGCTTCCCACAAACTTTTGTCAATGGCAGGCATAAAAGTAAGTCATTTTATTAGTGTCAATTTCTGAGAAATGTTTACTTTCCTCAATACGCGAAAAAGATTTTTTTTCATGATTTATAATCTTTGGTAAAAAAAGGGAGAACCATTTATTAGCTATTTTGATTTGTTAACTTCTTCAAACCTTGATTTATAGGTAAGGAGGCATCAACCACAAATGAAAGAGATCTCGATCAAGTTTGAAGAGCTATAGACGGTCCTGATGATGCGCGCTTCTCTAAGCTTTTGTGTGTCTATGCGGCTCTTTCTCTCTTGGTTAAAAGATCGACTGGATTGATTGCATCTTTAGTTAATGGTGCTAAGATGGCTGAGGATTTTCAACTTACCATGTAGGGTGTTCAACTCTTGAGATGTTTACCAATGTTTGTAAATCTGTGTTAAAGCTGAAACTTCTTACTATTCCCTAAAGCACCTTCACTCGTTATTGTAAAGAAGCTGAGTTGACTTACCATTAAGCAGTTTTATAGGTGCTTTAGTTCCTGAGTGAATTGACTTTATGTAGAGAAATAAGTACTGTAATACGTCGATCTGTATCCATTTTATTACTAGTTTAAAACAGAAAAACATGCTTATGTAGAGATCTACTTGTAACCAGATTCTCCGATGTCTATGGATTGGGACAATCATTTCTTGCTAAGCCTTTAGCGAATAGGGAATCGGCCTTCATTTGGTAAAACATGGAATCGATGGGCACGTTTCAACTGATTCAATTAACAAAACATGTGAGGATAAAAGAATACTTGAACATTGTTTAAGATGTCTTCATTAATTTAACACCTTTAGGGATCCAAAATTGGTAGAAACGAGATGATGACAACATTTGATTAGCCTTTTAGTAATACAACAATAACCCCATCTCTGTCAGTAAGTTGTAGTAGTATAAGATTAGTTCACTGTCTTTTACGCGTCTTCAATCCTGCCGCATGCTGGGGATAGGAACAACTGTCCGTTCATTTAGACAATAAGCATTAAGAGCATTAAAAATGCCTCAAAATCCCAAGATTATCAAGCTTAATGGTCTCTGAAGCAAGGAAATTCTACACGAGTGTCACGCAATAGAGCAAGTTTTCCTTTTAACTTCAAGAAGAGTTTCTCTTTGTATTTCAGTAATCTAATCAGCGTTAAGGGCCTCAAGTTGCTTTCTGAGTTCTTCAAGGTCATCCGGCGGACCAACAGTCTCTGTTATAACTGGTTTTGTGTATTCATCAGCTACAGGCAGCTCATGAACAATACCTTCAGGAAGGACACCTACAAGAAAAATAAATAATACATTCAGGTTAAAGTATAAATACTAAGTATGATATTTTCAGATTATATCAACCATTAGTTCTTTCTCTTTACATTTTAAGTTGTAACCTAAAACACGATGCATCACATAAAGTATAATTGTAGGAAGAAACTGCCGCAATGAAAACTGGAATATTCCCTTCCTCTAGTCGTTTTAACATAATTCCATGAACTAGTGATCAATTCCCATTACTTGTTTAAATGACAAGTGAACTCCTAGAAGGCATTCTCTATTGTGTAAAGAATTGTTCCAAGTTTATTACTCAGTAAAAGCCAGAGCATTACACATATATGAACAGAAACACAAGAAAGAGAGAGATTGTCCTAGTATGATTTGGCAGCATTGTCGAACAAAGAATTATATGCACTTTTTGGAATGTCTATATACAATAGATAAGGACTCCAATTTCAGAAGATGATGCAGAATTTGGTGGCACACATTATTGAGTGAATTTACATCAAAAGTTTGAAGGGCAACCTTTTCAGCAAAGGTTTATTGATTGTTAAGTTTACTCTAAAGCTTCACAAGGCTCCTCTTACAGTATGTAAGTTTGTACTCATCTTTCCATGTGGCTGACATTGGACTCTAGAGTGAAAAAAAAAGATAGGCGCATTTCCAAGATAAAATAATAACCTAGACTAGAATATGCATTGTGATCTCTCAATGCATCTTACTACAAATATATATATATATATTTATATATATATATATTCTGATAAGGTAAGATTTTATTAATATGCAGTATCAAGAAAATACTGCAGAAGAGAACAACAGAGCAGTATCAATGCTTCTTACTATATTAATGCATGACACCTAAAGTTTAAGGCAGTTCGCATGCCTATCCTAATCAATAGCAGAACAAACTGTATTTTCCTTTTCCCTATAATCCTTTCAACTTTCATTCTCCTGTCTTAGCTCTTTTACCTTTGAACTCTCCAAATTTCGTGTTATTTCATTCTTTAGCTTGATGCTTTTCAGTTTCACAAAGTAAAGGTTAGTCACAACATCTTTGGCTAAAGAAACTTTTGTACTTGAGCAACATGGGCTTCATTTTTGAGTTATGAATTATGATTCATCGAAGAATTTTGAGTTAGCAGATAGCGAATGCACAAGCAAAGTGAGGCTACAAAAGCATAATATGTTTATCAGTGTGAATGAAAACCTGAATGTCTACTGACAGCACCATCCGCTTCATTGTCATCAACAACGCTGAAAGATCATAAGATAGCAACAAAAACAATTAGTTGAACAACAGTGAGATCAACAACAGTTATTAGAACCCATCACTCACATTAGACTCAACAAAGCTGTCCAAGTGCTTTTTACCAATATGAGGTATGCGAGGATGTAGTTGTCTGTAAGCTTACCTTTCTTTCTTTCTAGATTTGCATTAGTATCGAAACTTACCTTATGTTCCATTCATTATCTGCATGAACAGGGTTTTCTGGTGCTGATAATGCTTCCTTGTCCGCTTTTGCTTTAGCAGCAGCATCTCTGCTAGGTTTTGCAAGAATGTATTCCTTCTGCAGAGTAGTAAAAAACATCATAAAATGTCAAACTTCAATTGAATATCAAAGACAGATGCCTCCTCATTTGTAAGACCATGGCCACTATACCTGTCGTTCCAAACAAGCAGCATTTGAACATTGTGTATTTGGCTTCATCTCCATCGTTGGAAAATAATCTTTGAGGGCATTGTACCCCTATAACAAGCAACAAGAAAGAAAATCAAAAGATCAAAACTGTTGAGCTACACTTAATTTCTCTCTACACCTTGCCCTCCTTTTAGAGGAGGCAAGTTCACTACTTTGCAAATTTGAGAGACGGAAACTAAGAACTCGAGTATATACTGGTCTGCCATATCCTCTGACTATATGATCAGTTATTTTTTAAGAACGAATGTACAGTAAGAGGGGATGATCGAGAAAGTCCTCCTTACTTCAAAGGCTTGAAGGAACTCAAGTCTACATTTGACTAAAAAATATCCAAGAAAGATAATGTTCTCCCACATTTATCGTGGCTCCTTAAAGGGAGAGAAGGGGGAAGGGGGGAGAGAGAGATTGCAAGCTTTACCAGATATGGTGACACCTGTCCGAACTTCAACAAGTATTTCAATGTGTTTTGAACTAAAAGTCCAGCAACAACTCCCTATCAAAGACAGTTTGAATGTTAATTAACCAAATCATGTAACAAATATATAATACAACTTCAATCAAAGCAATATACAGGACTCTAGTACTGTTGCTGGAAAAGAAGTTAATATTATTCTTCAAAAGCGCCTGGGAGCATAAACATGAGAAAAGCTGCCAAATTAATAGCAAATAGGGCTATAAGGAGAAAGAGAACAATTTAAAGATGAAGAAGCAAACATCAATCACAACTTCCAGTGTTTCTTTCTTTGTCTAGTTGCCTTTCAATAAAAACAGTCTTTTCACATGGCAATCTTTTTTTTTTTTGAGAAGGTAAAGTGTCCAGTATATTCAAAAAATCATCAGCACAAACTTTGTGCTGGAAGCCAAAATAGGCAATTACAATATGGAAAAGCAAAAATATAGTCCTTGTTCTTCTTACAAGGAACTCAAAACATCTAGGATTGAATCAGGATCCTCTACATATTCTGATTTACACCAAAAACAAAAAGAAGAATACACTTCATCTTAATCTTTTGTAGAGAGTTGGTTTCACATGGCAATCTTCAGGCAGAGAATTTAGAACTTGTCATGTGTAAAACTAAATAAAGAGAGAACGGGAACAGCAAAAAAATTGGGGGAATAAGGTTTTTCATACCATTGTAGTAGGTAGAGAGGCAGCACAAACCCCTTCACGCTTTAGGGTTCGTTCATCGATTCCAGATGCTACAACCTAAAAGCACAAGTATTCCATTACAGCGATTTACTTGGTTTACTTGCAAGCAATCTTAGTTGGAGTTCATACAGAAAACTGAAATTTGGCAGAACAAAATTAGTTTTAGCTATAATTTAGCCTTTTTAAACTTTTAGTTCTCAGACTTTAGCAATCTTAGAGGACTGTTACACCAATTAGGAGTCTCACTTCAAGTAAAGATTGGTGATCCGTAATTGAAGTCATTAGGGGAAACTTCAATAACTAAACATACCAGAGGAGGCACACATGCAAAGCAAGCACTTTCACCAGGAATCAACAATTGTATGTGACCCGAGACAGCATCTTCAGATACACCTGTCACAAAGTTTCACATGAATTTCAAATTATCGAAAATGTATTTCCCTATCATTTGATAAAAAATTTGGTTTGCTTTATGAAAATAAAAAGTTTGCACATAAATTCCTTTAGTGCAATCCATGAAAGAAAACAACAACCGAGGCCATCCAGATTCTTACAAATGCAGAAATGTATGCACAATGCATTTTCATAAAAAGCTTGTAATAATATTGTAAAGTCGGAACACATATTTCGTGTGTTAATACGACTAACTATTTTTCAGCATTTAATAATATAAAGAGGTTGTAGAAATTCAAATTTTTATTTGGCTAAAAGTTCCAGTGATACATTAAGAAAAGAAACAACGAAGAAAGATCAGTCTCCTCTTCCACTAAATTAAACGAGTTAAGTTTGTGCATTACCAAAGTTCAGTTTTTCACCACTTCATTTACAATTTCTTATACAGCCAGTATTTTAACACTAGAAAATTTTCAAAATATCTCTTTCAGAAGAAGGCTATCTTATAGCTAAATAAGGGTAGTGCTTGGCCACATATAAGAGTTTCCTGACACATATGAATGAAAGAAAAAAGAAGGATATGAAATTTCAGCCACTTACCAGATTCCATCCATGTCTGATTTAATTCACTGCAGGCCTGCATTATGATGAAGTACATAGCAGGTAAGCTACCAAATAATGAACAACCTAATGCCTAATATCTAGTAAACTTGTTCTTATACAGATTAAAGGAGTTCTTGCAAAAAGAACCTATTTCAAAATACTTTCAAAAAGAGGACACTAGAGCATACAAAAGCACACACTAGACATTAATTAATTTTAGATAGCAGATATTTGCCCATACCTGATTTACTACCATTCTTGCTTCATAATTATCTACACAGCTCAAAACGAGGTCAACCCCACTGCCACTCTTAGTTGGGCGGAACGACTTATTTGTAAGACTTGACATAAATGTGTCAAAACCTTCCACTGTTGTGATATTCAATGTGTAGCTCTAAAAAAACAACCCAGTTAAATAAGAATAAGGATTCTATGGAGAATATAAAGATAAGAAGTGAAGGATGCAGGAACATATTCTTGAGTAGAACTGTAAAACTACATCAACAAATAAATGTCACAAGCAACCCACTCTACCTT